CCCCGCGGGCCCCCCCCGGGGGCGACGGGGGGGGGGGGGGGGGGGAGAAGCAGGCGCGGGCTTCCAGAGAAGGACCTCGGGGGGGGGGGGGGGGGGGGGGGGGGGGGGGGGGGGGAAGCACGTGTGGGCCAAAAGCCACCAGACCCAGGCAGCCTGGAGGAGAGCGCTGGGGCGGGGGCTCTCAGAGATTCGGGGTTCCGAATGAAAGCTGGGGGGTCCCAGTCGTGGGCTGTCCCTGGAGAGAGGAGCCGGGAACTGGGGAAGAGTTGTGTTGCCCCGGGCAGGGTGGGGTTTCAAGGCAGGGTCCGGTGCCCCCTCAGCAGAATGAACTGGGTGCAAAGGCTACCTGGAGTCCCGCATTTTAAAAGAAGGCGATCCTAGACGCAGGCAGACGGGCACGTGCAAGCAAAGCCATTAAGGGCTGAGTCTGAAATTGCCTATTTGCACCAGGTGGGAAGAATAAGCAGTTGGTGTTGGGTGAACCGCCCCCCCACACACACACACACAGAAGGTGTGGGGGCTCTCCAAGAAGAACGGGGTGGTTGGGGACCTTTTCTTCCCATGCACGAGAGAAATCAGTGAGAGACGTTGACTGATCGCCATGCACCCCTTGGAAAATCAGCACGCGAGTTTTTTATGAGAGAATGCGGGTGGATGGCACCCTTCAGAATTGCCCTATCTGCTTTCCCCTACCCCTAACTAAAATGGGCAAGTCCCCCAACCCCACAACTGGAGTTTATTTAATTCATCCATTTATATGCTGCCCGATATACCCAGCAACACGGGAAGGTGTCTAAGAAAGTGATGGCTGATGCTCCCCCTGTGGAGTCTGTCCTCCCTCCATCCTTAAGAGAGACAGAGACTGAGAGAGACAGAGAGGACTGATCCTCTCCGAGCCCTACAAAATAAGGAATTTACAGAAACAAGGCAAAGCCCAGGCTGCTCTTGTTCTTTCGGCTTCTTTCCTCCCTCTAAGGCTTAAAAAACGGTCAAGAATCCTGCGTGTATTCTCTCCCCACCCCCATAAGAGCAGTGCAGTGTTTGGTACTGCTCCCCATCATACATAAAATGAACCCCTTCCAGAAACATCTCTCCCCCCTCTGATTCTCTCCCCCTGGTCCCGTATCAATCGACAGCCCAAAGAAAAATAGATACCTTCTTAATGAATGCCATAAAGTATTTCATGGGGGGCAAACACGTCCCCCCTCTGCCCTGCATGCATACATGTACACACACTCTCTCTCACACAGAGGCTGTCTTTCAAGACAGTGCCGTTTGACAGATGGTGTTGGCTTTGGTTCTTTGGTCCTTTCTCTACCACAGCTCTAGCAAGAAATGAATAAGCATCTTGCTTTCCATGCTCAGACCTCTTGTGCTTCTCCAAGCTCACCTTTCTGAGGTAACCTTGGTGGATCTTACCCTTTTCCTCTGAATGTCTCCTCCAAGAAAATAGTGGAAGATTTCTGTGCTGTGGTTTCTGCAGAATAGTTGGGTGGGGGTATCTTTTCAAAAAAGCCCTGGAGGATGTTTTCTCCCTCCACAGCACCAGAAGGGCAAAATTCCCCTTCACCTCTTTCTCGGATCCCTCTCCCAGCCCCCCTAATAAAAAGTGGATCTTTCAGAAAAGGGGCCAGTACCTTTTTCTAGATTTCTGTTTAAACTTCCTAGTTGCACATAAACAAAGAGGATTCAAACAGCCTTAATATAGCTTTTCCCACCAGAATTTTTCTTCCCCCAGTGCAGAAAGCGAGGAGGAATAAGATATAATCTAATTTGGGCTACCCATTGAAAAGGCTGTTGGATGCTGCAATTTGATTTAGGAAAGCTTGATGAGTTAATCCGGAAAGACAGACGAGCCAGGAATGAAACAAGAGGAAAGGCGAATTCAGGCTTTGGCCAAGTTCCTTAATTATACTGAAGAGAAAGTAAAAAAAGGTAGTGTTTTATTTTAAGGGAGTTTGTTTGATGAATTCACCCAGAGAAGGAAAAAAAGGACAGTTAAATAGAAATGATCGCCCCGCCCCCACCGCTGCCTGCCTTAAATGTATTCCTCAAACCTGTTGTTAGCATTGTTCAAATGGAACCTACTAATTTAATGCACCAGAAAAGCAGTGATGACACGGGATGATAAGATTGGAAATATGCCTTTTTCAACCAAGTTACCCCATCACCCCCATGGGCATGGTGCAATCTCAGCCTCTCCCCTGCAACTTTCTGGAGTTGCAGATTCTGCTTCTCTTAATTATATATGGAGCGTTGTGAGTTAACCTTCCAAAGGCTAGTGCTATCTTTATTGTTCCTGAGCAGTGATAATTCCTCTCCTCTGCCCCTCAAAAATCTATCTGAGGTCAAGATCCGAATGTGTCATCCAAGGACCCGCTTCTTAAAGCCTCTCCAGAGAGTTGGCTAATTCAAATGTGCCCCTTCCATTTAAAGCCTGCCATGCTGAGTTGCAGGGAGGCAAACAGAGCCGTGACCCATGCCGGCCAGATCCCTCCACCTAGACGCTGGGTGCCAAAATTGTCACATGAGCATTAGCTGAGATGGGTGGCATTTACCTGGGAATAAATCTCATTGCGGCACGAGGGCATTGACGTTTGCTTTGGCAAACAGGCTGGGCTGTTAATCTCCAATCCTGGGGACAGGGTGGGGGAATGAGCGGCATAAAAACATTATTTCTGATTGAACTTCCCTTCACACTCTTAATTTCTAAATTACAGAGGTTTGTTTGAAGAAAATTAAGACGTTCATAAGCAGATTCCCTTGACATGGACTTCTAGATCCACAGTCCCCGTGTTTCCCTTTAAAATGGTTGGGGTGCTCCACAGGAGGTGGCAGATAAATTTTGTTGTAAAGTAGCTTGCTTATTTTCTCATCTCAGCCCACACAGTTGAATGCACATGGGCCTGCGTGCATGCACACACACACACACACACACACACACACATGCACACACACACCCCTACCTCTGTTGTTGTTATTATTGAAATGAAAATTAGACAGGAATCCAAAAAAGTGGAATAAGCAAAAGCTGTACTTTTAATCTTCCTCCATTGAGGTGGGCCCAAGAATTAAATATTTCCAAGAACTCCCTAAATGTTAAGGTTGGGCAATCAGCTGCTTTTCTTTTTAAGAGGACATTTTATTCGATTCTCCTCTGCTCTAATATTTCTCCACAAAAATGTTGGGTGGAAAGAGGCCTTACTAGATTTGATTGTGGCCTTGTCCCTTTCCCAGCCACGGGATTCCCGGATGGTGTTCGTCTACAATGCCCAATCATGCTCACAACCCGACTGGGGACTGATTGTAGCTGAACAAGCTCTGGGGAGCCCCGGACTGTGAAAGTCGAAGAGATGCTTCAAGAGGAGCCTTTGATGTGGATGCCTTGTTGTAGAGATGCAGGAATTGTTGCAGGGAGGGGAAGCTGTGGGGGTGCCGGGAGAAGGCCTGAAAAAAGAGGCGCCCATGGGAAAGTCTTGCTAGGTGAGGAGACTGAAACAGCCCAGTCAGACGGACAGTTGGTGGAGTGGACAGAAACCTTGAGGGTGGAGGATGGAATGGAGTAGTGTGAATAGGCCATGGCTGGCTGGAAAGAGCTCAAGCTTTTACAGGCCATAATCTGCCCCCCCCCCGTTTTTTTCGTCCCCTTTCCCCACCGTCAAGGCAGTCCATTGCAGCGAAAGACTCTAGCAGTGCCATCTTGTGTGTGTTTACTCAGAAGTAAACCCTTTGTTCGCTGGAGCTTATTCCTGCGTATGTGTGCACAGTCTTGCAACACAAATTGGCCTTCCTTCATCAAATTAGAGGGTTCCTGTTCCGCTTCTGTGTTCTTTGCATCTTCGGGGACAGCTTACCGGGAATGATAAAACAGGGCAATTAAAAAGAGCGAAATGCATGCATGTCCTGATTTTGAACACTGTCTTTGCGAATCCATATTTTGCAGCGTGGCTTAATGAGAAAAGGCTTGCAGGTATGTCATGATTAGATTGGTGCGGGAAGAGACCCCGAGAAATGGGAATAACCAAAGCCATAAGTAATAATTTTTAAAAGGTTGTCAGTAGGTCACTGATCTGACTGAGAGAGCAGGTACACTGCTGTTGCTTCTCCTGAAAAAAGCTAGGAAATCATCTGGCTTCTTCACACCTGCGCTTGGATATTTAAGGCCGCATTCCCAGTGCACACTCGCCTGGGAGACAGCCCTCAGTACCTAGATAAGGGTCTCAGTTCGCTGCAGAATCCTCCTAGATTTGATCCTCATTGAAGGAAACGAGAGCTGCTTGAAATGAGGTGAGAAATTCCCTCTGGCTCATGGGGAAAATATCTGTCAGTCTTGGCTTTGCAGCATGAAAGAAAGAAAGAAAGAAAGAAAGAAAGAAAGAAAGAAAGAAAGAAGGAAGGAAGGAAGGAAGGAAGGAAGGAAGGAAGGAAGGAAGGAAGGAAAGCAGGCAACTTGTTAACTCTCCTCTGCATGCATGTATCAGATACGCATTGTGATCTGAGCAACTGTAGCAACCCTCTTCCAGGTCAGGAGTAACAGTGTATCCTATATGTAAGTTCAGGAGTCAGTAAGGAGTCAGTAAGGAGGCTGACTTCCAGGAGGGTGTGGATTGCGTGGCTGCCTAGGTGGGCAACGGCTCTGTCCCTGCTTGCTTCGTCCAGCCTCAGCCCTCAGCAGACTGTCTGTGGGTCATCGGAGTTCCAACATCTGCTGTCAGGTGGATTTTGGGTCAAACTGCAGCAAACCAGCCAATGCACTTTTCAGATCCAGGTGCCGTGTTTTTATCGCTCGGAATACTATTCACAGTGCTATCAACACAAGACGGTGACCTGTGGGTTGGTTTGGGCTTTGTTTTCCCCCTTGTTAAGGGATGCAGGCAAGAACCAAGGTTAGTTATGCT